GTGAGTAGGGGATCCACTGGAGCAAGGGACAATGGTGTAAGGACTCCTTTTCCTTTAAGAGAAGCGGCAGTAACAACATGGAATGAACTGACCTGCACTCCCCCATTCCCTGCCCCCCTGCGCCGCTGGGGGGGAGGAGGTAGAGCCGGGAGGAAGAGGCAAAGGGGGGGAGTGGTGTTGTTTTTAAGACCTGGCCTTGTTTCCTTGTTATCCTCTTAAGTAACCGTTTTTGTTTGCTTTTCTCTTTGTAGGTAGCTGTTAATAAACTGTTTTGCTTTAAGAAAAAAGCCTCTTTTGCCCGGGACCATGGTTGGTGGGTGCTCCTCTGTTCCTGTCTCGATCCTCAGCTCTTTTATTACATTTTTCTCCTCTCCATTTTACTGGGTTGGGAGAGCTGCGTGGGTTTAGTTGCCGGATCGGCCTAACCCACGACAGCTTTCTAACCTACTGTAAGAAACAGTAATTGGATCAGAAATTGTGTTTTGCTTTACCGTGTTCAGAGAACAGCAAACTGTTCAAAACTGTACTAAGTTTCAGTTTTAGTCATTTATGTATGTGTTTTCTTTTTTCCATCAACGTTTAATGTATGTCCAGATTTAGAAGAAACAAACTGTCTCTGTGAACTGAACTTGCTCTTCTTGAGAATTACACCATTTTGACAGTATAGGAAATTTTTAAGTTTTATTGCAGCTGATTTCTGGGGGTTTATCAGTGCAAAATACTGTAAAATGGATAGCGGGTTCAAATAAGTGTTTGAGAGCATTTGGAATATATTGAAGGCCTTTTTGTTTTATTCTACTACTAAAAAGAAGAGAAAATATAATTTAATTTTTTATGGAAAAAAAACCCTGGGTCATATTTAATGGGTTATTTAACCCTTTCAATGGTAGGGAGAGATAATGAGGGAAAAAATGACTGGTCTCAAGCTGGTAGGCACTATATCTGGGCTAGCTCTATTTTAGTGCAGCTTGAATTCTAACATGAGAAAATTGCAGAAATTTACAATTCAAAGTGTGTTTCATCAGGGAGAAATCCACAGATTGTTTTGACACTCAGTTAGAAATTCAACATGAAGATGGACGTCTCATGAAATTTGCAGCTGCTGATTGAATTTATATTTCCATAAAGGCCATCAACAGTAGCAGCCTGCAGGGAAAGTGGGGGGAAAATGACAAAAATTGTGAGGCTGGCATTTTTTCCTCAGCCTTATAGTAGCAAATTACTTGTAATAAGGTCCTACACTGACCAGGATTAAAGAAGAATATAGGCAGCCAGAAGGGAATGATTTCTCGGTTTAATTGATTTGAACTAAAAATGTCTGAATTTGATATTTAAATATATGTTTAGTCATCTGTACAATATGTAAAATGCAACTGCAAATCAAAAGTGTCGGTAAACTGGAAATTACTGGTAATTACAGAAGGTTTATCATACAGGTAATTTGATTTTATAGTAAATTCCCAGAACAGAGAATGAATTATATAAAATGTGCAAAAGTAGGCCTTCTTTATTAGAGGTGAAAATCTCATCTCATCTCATCTCATCTCATCTCTGGCGTGCTCCCTCTCATTCATTCACACGTGCAGACAGGAGAGGATATGTAAGATCTGAATTTATTTTTCTGAGTAACAACTCTCATTGCGTTGATAACTTTAAAAGCAAACATGCATTCACAAAAACAAGCCCATGTTGTCAAAACAATTAGTAAGAAATGTCATTGAGACAAATGGTATAATAAAATTGAACAGGTTTATCTTTTGTTTAGAAGCTTTTGTACGTTACTGTCTATTTATGTTTTCATGGAAGGAACGGGGCAGGCGAAAGGCTAAGTATTTTTGAAATATCTTCTTTTTTGGTAAAAGCATAATCTCAAAGGTGATACTAATGATTCTAATTCCCTTAATGCCTTTGTTTCAAAATACCTGGGACTGTGTAGGTGTTTTCTTTTGTCTTGGTGTCAGAGATTTATGCATGCAAGTCTCAATGTATAGCAAGGCAGCTATGCCCACCGAGTTGTAGTCAGAAGCTTTTTATCGTTAGTAGTCTGCATCTGTGCCATCCTGTGCTGCAGGTACGTCATGTCTTGCAAGCTAAGGAAGGTCAAAAAAAAAAAAAAAAAATTTTGATGTCAATAGACACCTGATGTTCCAGAAACTTTAGGGCAGCTCTCTGTGGCTGGACAGCACAGAGTTGTGCTTTCATATGGTGAGACACCAGTCACGTGTAGTCTTGATATCAGTAAGGTTCCTTACTCTATGGAGACATTTAAGAATGAAAGAACTTGTGTGACATCTTCGTATGAAAACACAGGGATCACACATCTGAGCTGCTCAAGCCAGGGAGAAATAAGTTAGAATTCTAATGGGACTAATTGAATAACTTTGCAATAATGACAATCTCTATGAATGTCGTTATTTCTGAGAGTTTACATTTTAGATATTAAATTGGTAAAGTATTTTTTTTTACTTGTAAAAATTAAAATATAGTTTAGGAACCTAGCAGTCTTTGACATACCTAGAAATGAAATTATTTGATTGTAGAGTTTATCAGTATCACAGTTTGTTCTTTCTGTGGTCTTAAATGCTGTGTATCAAACACTCATATTATGGTTATTAGAAGCTATGGAAGTCTAAAGATTGCAGTCCAAATGCAGTCTTTCTTCTTTTTGTTCACTGACATCAGCATAAATGCTGTCACATAGAAAGTTCCGTATGTACTGACTGGCTACAGTAGTTGCACTTGTTGCTTTAGCTTCTAGTAACAGCAAAATACTCTAACATCAATGGACACACAATTGAATATTTAAATACTTGATGATTAGGTACTTGCACACTGTAAAAGCACATAGACCTCAGTATTTGCCATTTAGTCTAAAATTTGCACAGTTAAACTGGACCTGTGGAAGTAGAAAGCAGAAAAAACTGTTAGGTGGAGACGGCATGTTGCTTTTTGCATGTGCATTTGTTTTTCTAACTTGCAAAGTGACCCACAAACTCTTGAGATCTGAGTAGAAAAATAAATTCATGGGTTGACTCAGGTCTAAAAAGCTTTGACTTTCAGGTAGTCCTTGGTCCCTGTTCCAATTTATTCTTTTCTTGCTCAAAGTAGCTTTGTAGGGAGATCAGACATTACTGCAGTACCTTGGCTATATTTTTTTTCCCCTCTTCACTACTTAAACCACCCTGTGCTAACCAAAACCAGCTAAAATGTTGTCGGTTTGTTTGTTTTTCCCCACAGAATTAGTGTTACTGGAAAATACCTTGACTAATGGGTACACATGGTTCAGCTTAAAGAAACAAACTTTTGAAGCAGAGGTTTAAAAGTAATCTAACAATGTAAAGTAAGAGCTAAATCAGGCAAAAATTTTCAGCTGTTGAAAGAGAAATGACTCCATGTTGCTAATATTAATCAACTAAATTGTAGTGCTAAGTATTGTTTAATTTTGTTTTTAAAAAGTACTAGTTGCCTTTGAAATACTTGTTTTTCTTAGAACTCTAACCAAGTAAAGGTTTTGTTTTTATTTCTATATATAATGAAAGACGAAATTTGGCAAACTTTAGGTATTAAAAGCTATAGAAGTACTTACTAACCTGAACTATTATGATAATTAATCTCCTATGAGCATTAGTATAGCATTCTTTGAATTCTTTTGGAAAATACATTACTAATTATGTTTGCAATCTATTTCCTGTTCTTTTTTACTTCACTACCTTTTTAATAAATACTGAATAGTATATGTAACATATGTATATAAAGATATTTGAAAAAGCATACCAGAAATTTATTGTAAATATAAGCAAACTTGAAAGTAAAGCAAAATACAATGGCCGATGAACATAAAAATCTTATTGCGCTCATCTGTCAAGCGTCAAACAAGTGAGTCAGAAATGTGTTTAGAAGGCTTTCTCTGAACTAGCGTACAACCGTTTTTTAGATATGTCATTTTGAGCATCCCCTTTACAGCCCTCATACATTTTAAACAAATTAGGATACAAGAGTAAAATTGTGGGGAGTTTTTTTGCTTGTTAACTGTCCACCCAGCTTCTTAAGGATCCTGAGCGTCAAATGCTATCATTATGAATTATAATAATTAATATAAATTGCAAAGGGTGCGGCATTTCCTCTTTTTTTTAGAACTGCGATGACAGTTTCAAATTCAAAATATATATTCCTATCATAATATTATAGGTATCGAGTTGTCTTTAAGCCCTTTTCAGTAATATTTTTTTCGTCTTGTAGTGAAAGTAAGACGTGATTTGCTTATCACCTAAGGTATTCAAGTTCAGTTAGTTTATCTGAGTAAAAAAATTAAACTTTCGAGTTGGAAATAAGTGATGATAGCATACTTTTATTTGAACTCACTGCTGCAATATGTATGTGCTAGATAATGCTGGTATTCTGAAGCACAAGAAGTTTTTGTGATAGCATTTTGAGCCATCTGTTCAATGTACATGCTTCTTTCCCAGATCGGGCAGTGTTCTTCTGTTTTTTGCATTACCAATTTTTGTTTTTTCTCAAACGTGATTCTTCAGAACTGCTAAAAGCTCAATCCAAGTGAAAGGTCTGCATTTTCAAACAGAAGCTTCAGTATTGTTTTA